AAAATCTTTTTATCCTGAAGGTTTTGATTAGCAATCATAAAACAAATTCTTAAAAATTGTATTTAACTCCATGGAAATGAGAAATGGGCAAGTTTTGCAAGATGAGCAATGACAGAAATTTCAAGTGAAGCTGGAATTCACTTCCCGTTTACTCTCCACTGCTTCGCAATCCAGGTCACTGTTGACCGCTGGCTCAGACCTGCTCTTGATTCCTTTTCTGATTCGGTAATTGCCATCAGATTCACGAATCTGTTCAGATGTAAAATTATCTGTCTTAATCGTGGTTTCGCGAAAAGCGGAAATTACAGGAAGAGATTCTTCAACAGCAAAATCTTTCGACTTCGCCTGGGATTTGAAATTATCTTCTGGAGGGGTTTCAGAATATTGTTTCCTGGTTGTGCTGCTGGAGTCTCCCGGGGAATTCGACCCTGGAATGAGAATAAAATTGATAAATTTCCTGTGATTATCAAATTTTCATAATGAACAATGCTGTTGGAAATGGAATTTGTTTGCGGATTTGTTCAACTTGGATCTTTTTCAATGATTTGAAATGAAATTTAGACAACAATCAGCCGGGCTGAGGCCGGGGTGCTCAACACCCTAGTATAAGGTTGATGTATTTTTGGATATTTTGATAGATCATTTGACAACAGCAGTTTTTGCGTCAGTCTGTAAGGTTTTATTAAGTGTTGGATTTTTACAAGCCTTACACCTTGTAGAGAATTGGTTGAATTCGCTGAAACAAACCTTGCTGACTAATTAATCAGGAGTAGAATTAAAACACAGTACTTGGCCGGTGCGCAAACCGACCAGGGAACTATTTCCCCACTAGCGCTGACCTTTTCTTTTTCTCACAAATTGATATAAGTGTAACAACAATATACACTTTCAATTCTTTGCGGAAATTAGAATTTGAGTATTCCCAGAACTGGGTACAGAAGATTTTTTGGCACACACAATACACACACAATAAGCGTTCCCAAAAATTTTGACAATATCTGAACAAATAAATTGATTTGCGTAAATTCTCTTTGGTTCAAGCTTGAAAAGATTTCAGTAGCAAAAGGTTCCAGAAGATGGAAAAAATAATATTCACACCAAGCTTTCTCGAGTATTGAAATAAAAGAAGAATAAGACGCTGTAGAGCATCTTAAGCTGAAAAAGGTTTTTATAATTTAGAGTTTGGATAACACAATACTTCTGTCACAAGTTTGTGCGGATTCCAAAATTCTTACAAGTCCACACAATTCCTGAATTTGGTTAAGTCTGCAAAGGTTGCAAATTTCGAACAAGTCCACAAATAACAAATTCCCACATACGCGTAACAGGCCTGTTGGCTTTCGATTCTCAACTGTGTATTCTTAGAAAGATTGGTTTAATCAAGATTCCTTTGGTTTGAATTCAAAGACTTTGTGGTAGAGTTCCAGAAGATGGAAAAAATAATATTCAATAGTTTTCTCAAATTTAGAGAATTTAAAGAATATAAGGACTCTAAGGAGCATGTTCAAGCTGAGAACAAGTTTGGAAAAGTTTGACAGACAAGTTCACAAGGATATTCTGAAGTTTGGAAGAAATGTTCAATCACAACACTCAGAAGAAATGAATAAATTGTATAAGTCCAAAAAGAGGTTTCAAATCTTGTAAAGAGTCCACAAAATTAAAAGTTCCACACACAAAATAACTCAATGACGTTCTGAAGCTGTCTGTGTCTATAAAAGAATTTAAGATCTCATTGGTTTGCAAAGTTCAAAGAGTGGTCAAAGTCCTTTTCTTAAAATAGGCAGAGGTCAAAAATTATTCTTTTCTCAGTCACAATTCCTCTCAAAAATAGAAATTTCAGTTGTGGAATGGAAAACAAGGTACAGAATTGCGCATGAACTTAGTTTTAGTCAGAGAGAAGTTTTCAAGAGCAGAAAGGTATTCCAGAATTGGATTTTTCTTTCTCACACAACACTCAACACAAGGTAAATTCCAATTTTTGTAAAGTCCGTAAATCTCAAATCTCGATGCTCTCAAAAAACGCCCAGTGACTCAAAATTTCCACTGACTGTGTTGCTTGAATTCTGGGGGGTTTTATGCAATTCCCCCTGCCCGTTTTGGCGGGATTTTTTGGTTAGAAAAACACCCAGGTGCTGGGATTTTCAAAGTTAACAAATTTGCCAGATGTTGGCAGTTGTCAACAGATTTTTAGTGCTGTTTTGAAAATCTTGTACATGGTTTTCTCCCGGTAACCGGGTGTTCTGTTTTTGATTGTTTTTACCTGCAGCTGGAAATGTTTTTGTTTTGTCCCTGAGCTCAGAATTTTTTGGGGAAGGAAACATTTCCCTTCTTTTACGAGTGTGCCAATTTTACAATTGGCCCAAATTGCCCCAGTTCTGGGAACTGTTTTTCTTTCTGTACTTTTCCTTTTCAGGATTTTTTGGCAATTTAGCCATCAGCCCCGGTTCCGGGGAACAATTTTTTCTCTTTCTTTGTCCTTTTTTTTTCTGCACATCCCCAGATGCGCCCATCAAATTACCAGTCAACGTCTTCCTCCCTTTTGCAGCGGCGTCCGTTGCCACCAAATAAATTTCGCACGCAGTCTTTTGCGCAAGAAAACACAGAAGCAACTGATGATTCAATACAGAAATGATTCAATATTTATGCAATTTCCTTTCTATGGCAATTTTGTCCCTGAATGTATTATCCTTCCAAAAGGATTTCCCCAAGAATTCAGAATCTTGTAGGAAGTTGAGGTCAAGCTGGGTCCCATTGAATCCCCAACTTTCCTGAAGTTCCGCTGTTTTCCTGGTGCCACTCTAATCCTGTAATTGTTAGCTCAACTGCTTATTACAATTTTCAACAAATGCCAAACTGGGTCATTTGCTTAAAAATATAAAGTTTTTGGATTAATTTCTTTCCAGAAACAGGAAAAAGGATGCAATTCAAGATAAATTATGCACAAAAGTCATGAAGGACAGCAAATATTGTATAATTATGGGCATGCTGTGCTGCTTCAGTGATCATCTTCAAGGTTGTGACGATTCTGTAGATTCAACATTTAATGACACATAAATTTAAAGTTTTCATGGATGTTTGGATCAGTCTCATGTAGGAATTTCAAAGGAGTTTCAATTATCTTGCTTTTTGTTTGATTTTTAATGGATCATTTCAAATAAATGTTCTGTGTCAATAAAATACTCAAGAATATACATTTACTTTTTGTCATTAACAATCATTAGCATATGTTTACACATTTGTCCTTTTAAAAGATTTAAAATGATTTCAAGCTTATCAGACATTCAAGATGTATCACCTGAATAGTCTTCATTTCTTCCTGTATTGACTTCAATTTTTGTGCAGCTTCCTTTAGTGTGAATCTTGATCCTAATAGGAGTTGGTTCAGCTGACTTGGCCCTTCTGCTCCTGAGCTTCACATTTCTAGCATTCACTGAATATTTTGTTTCTAGCAAATCTGACTTCAGTATCTTCCTCCTTGACTCCATAAAAGTTCCAGATGAATTCCTTCTTTTTCTTTGAAACCCCTGCTGTTCAGGGCAGTCATGAAATCCTTGATATTGTTTTGTGGGGGATGGCAAATGATGAACTGGTTCTTCCCAAACTGCACCAGCAAGTGATTGCTGTCTGACTAGGCTTGAGAACCTGCAAAAAAGGAATTCAAAGTTTCTCATTGAATGTCTTCAGTATGAACCTTGGTATTTTTCTGCCAGAGCACAGGTGTCGCCTCTCAAGTGGGGAAATTGGTGCACACTGGGGATATGTTTGTAATTCTATACACAGTGACCCTGCTGTGCACCTGAAGTGTACCAAAGTTCTTCTGTTGCACATACATATCCCTAATGTGCACCAATTGTGTGTTCACGCCAAGATTACTCAGGGTCACATTTGTAAACAAATAAGTTACACCAAATTACAGTTCATGCATTTGTGTGATACTCCTGTTCTGTCACATTTGTGCATTAAGTGTAGCCCTGGAATGGTAGCAAAATTTCCTCTACAGGAGTGCATACTTGCAACCCCAGAAGATCCCAAATTCACTAGTTGTGACCCTGGGGTTCTCCTACTGTGGGGTCACAGCAAAAATAGCTTCCCACTCAGGCTGTTTAGATCTTGGTTCATTTTCAGAAAAATTTCACAGTTTTCAATGCTACACTTTTTTTTTTACCAATTAGGCAGAATTAGGCCATGGGGAATTCAAATACATTGCACTCATATTAATGATTTTATATTTTTCAGGGACAGTAGCCCTGTGAGACATTGGAGAAATTGCACATTTATGCAGGAAAGTTGAAATTAATACAGTAAAGTACTAGAAAAAATATCAAAAATTTATGAAGTCACTGCAAGTGGTGAGAGTTAGCAATAATACATTACTGTGGCACTGAAAGAGAATAATGAACTGAAAATTCAAAACTATAATAAGACAGATTGAAAATCTGCTCAAAAGATTCAATGCTGATTTTAAGCAGGATTTACTAGTAAGTATAATGTGTTGAGTAGTGGTAACATTACTGTCCATGTTTCTGTTCAATGGATGATCAGCAAAACATTTTGAAATATTTCAGATCACACTTGAATTGGGCAGCATCGCATCAGCAGAAAACTAGCGGCATCTATGTGCAATGGAAAATAATTATTTGCTTAAAGAGGTCAAGATTCCACCGTACATGGGGTTTCTCGACGATTCAGGTTCAATCAAGAAATTATTTCCTCCGTAGTCCATATTGCTTCTACTTCTGAAAGACGAAGGGACATTCACGCGTCCAGCGCCACCTGTCCCACCATCCTGGAACTGGCTTGAAACTCTCGAGAGTCGCGCCACGTAGTTGTCGAAGTTCGAGGGTCGTGAGCTGGCTTGCAGAGCTGCAGTTCGGGAGAATAGTTCAACAGCCTCTTGTCTTCTTTGAGATTCTTGCTTCTGCGCCCATTTTCTTCTGAGAAATATGTGCTATTTCTTTAAAAACTACTCTCTAAAGATCATAAATCATTTATATGCTCCCTTACCGGTAAACGAATATTGTCGCACAAATCGCGAAAATCAGAAAAATGCCAATGATCAAAACACCTGTTGCCCAAGTGATCAAAGAGCCGAATCTTCCAACACTTCTTGCTGGATTTCGTTTCGGTGGTGGTTTGATCCCGAACCCTTGAGCAAAGTCAAATAAGGTTGAAACAATAAAATCCAATTCATTCAATTGTGACTTCAAGCTACACCTAGCTAATATCTTGGAGAATAGTACATTCCCAGCGAGTACATGCAGCAGGAGAGAAGCATTCAAGAATCAGTCATAATGTTCAAAATCGCAGGGAGCATTTTTAAAATTAATAAATTTAATTCTTCTTCCTTCAGAAATTTTTTTTGGAAACCGGAATTACTAGTCCTAGAGATTTACTAATTCTTTGGTATGATTTGGTATGATTCACAAAGTTGAAGTGACATCTACGAACTTCTGCAATGACTCCACTGCAATTGAGTCGATGAATAAGGTACAGTTATGAACCGAAAGTCAGTTGGACATGGTATTGTGTTATGACATATGAGTGACTTCAGAGGCCAAGTCAAGACCTTGAGATTATTATTCCTGATGCTATTTATGGAAAAGAATAGAATAGACCTTGTATTCAAAATTCTGTAACTATGGAACGACAGAATTATATACTGTATAGTACATACGAGAAATCCAAAGAAATCTCTCACTTGTATCAGCATCAGCCTCTTGCTCTTCATTCAGGGAAAGACCTCTGTCAGAAAACTCAGAATTGATCTCCACACTCTTCCTCAGTTCATTCAACTGTCTTTCCAATTGCTTTGTCTTGTTCTCTGATGGTGTGAAAGTGTCCTCTCTCAGCTTGGGTCTCAGAACACCACCAAAGTTCGGATCCACCTCGTCTCGGAATAATTCTGCTTGAAACTCGTTGCATAGGTCTTTCCTGCAGATCCGCACGATCCTGGACTGGCTGAAATCGTTCAATTCTTCCACCGTGGCGTCCGCGTATGAAGTGCTCAGACAGTCGAATTCCGCTCTGATCGGCTCTGAGGTTTGAATCATATTGAGGAAGTATTGGCAACCGTAATAGGCGTCAATGATCAATTATGTGCGGTTCTTATTCGAGTGAAGAGTGTGTGACTTCAGGAGAAGGCTGAATTGCCGCATTATTTGGGCTAGCTTACGACTGTTCTTCAGCGAAAAACTTACGTTTCTTGAAGTTGTACGTGACTTTCCGGCGACAAGCGTGTGTTTCGCTAGGACAAGCCTTCACGACCCGGTTTGTGGAGTCGTACAGCCTTAGGCCAGTGTAACAGTTGAGACCATCTGCATGAAAAGAGGGAACTTTCTATATTTTAAGTATAGCTTTTCGGTTGGTGTTCAGTCGGTAACCGAGGTGCGTCCTGAAGATGATTAAAGTGTGTACTCTCCTCATCTGAAGCGCTCCTTATTATTGCGCCTGCGAAATGGAGACCTCGTATCTGCTTCATGCTGGTGAGTTTTTATTCAAAAACTTTACCTTACCTTGATAAAGCGCTGGGCATTTATTGATATACATAGTACTGTAAATGTATATACCGTATACTTTATATACACTAAGTCTTTTTTTTGACTGGCTATGTCTCGATCGTCTACTCAGGCGAGGCAATGTAAGATTGTATCGGTCGAAATAGTATGATTCGAATCATAAAGTCAAATAATTCTATCTAGTATCGGCTATGTGGTTTTGGTCTTCCGTAAGTAGCATCGAGTTTACCGATATACGTTTCGGTGCTGACGGTGGAGAGAGAGAGAGTGCATTATTGAAATGGAGGGTTTAATCAGTATCGCGGACAATGGCGTAATCACAATGCTTCAATGAAAGTGTGGAAAATAGCACAACACCGATGGACTTACTTAGCTATAGACCATCACCTACACAAGCTTTCTGTTGAAAGGGAAAGTTACTCAGCCGGGGACAATCACCTATTGATGGAATGACGCACAGTACAGTGATGTATAGTGCAGGTATAGTGTATGTCTCCATCCATACATTGCCTTAACTCGAGTTTACTCACTGCCGAGTCGTCCATGGGCTTCTATGAGAATAATCAAGAAAGCGTCATTTTGAGGAAGGTTTGGATTAATCTATGTCCCTAGACAGAATTATAACTTCATGAAGGTACCGTCATGCATAACAAATATGGTTAGCATGCTGATTACGTTAGCTCTTTGGTCTGCTGTATGTGCCAAGCCAACCTTTAAAATCGTATATGCAGGATACCCGCTGATTCAAACCACTGCGATTATGGGTGGGATGAATGGTCGGTTACGGGTCTGGCCGATAGATGACGCTGCAAGATGTGAGGGGGCACCCTTACTGTACTGCAGATATTATACCGCTAGATTTTGCAGAGGTGTATCGTAGATTGAAAGAGCAAATCATGTTCGCATTTTAACGCGCTGCTGAGTAAAATGAACTTGTCAAGTGTAATATATATGCATTGTTTTATTTTGTGCGTGTATTTTGTCAAGAGCTGATACGAACGTTTTTTGAATACATGGCCACATACAGTACATTCCGTGGTAGAAATAGTTTTGCTTTATTAGTACGGTACTGGTAAAATTTTTCACAGGCAGAAAAATGTGTAGATTTAGCAGTTCCAGGTCTGCTATCTTTTATTGATGCATGGATGATTTGTGCACGTGTGTAGTAATTTTTAGATGTACGGTAAGTATTCGTTTTCTATGAGTTCAGGAATCGGACGGTGAAGTTGAACGCAGTGCTAATATTGATAATTCCGAGACCAATCACGCAAATTACCGTTGCCGGTCGCATACCATGTAGACTGCATAGAGCACCTAATTGTCGTTCGGGGAAAGAAATTTTGTAATGTTCGAAGAATATCCTGGTACTGTATTCACGTTAGTACGTGTAAAGTACTTTATTGCTGCTTCATTTGATGAAATAACACGTGATGAAATCGAAATGAATTTGAATTTGCGGATGCCGCCCATCGGTCGATAAATCCATGATTGTTCATCAAATCGTCTCAGGCTTCACTCTGTTCCCGGCCGTATGTGAAGGCTCGTCGAAGTCATGAAGAACATGGAAATTGCGAGAAAATTTTCATCAAAAGTCGCAACTTGTACGTTTCTCGACAGATTCTTGCAGCTTCTTCTATCACTGTGTGGTTTATTACCTCTCGGAGGCATTCTTCAAGGGCGACCAAGATTCTCTTGGATTTCGATCGGCACGATTTCGTCTTTATTCTGGATAGTCTACTTTTTCTATTGTAATCTGTGGAAATTCGGTGTGAAATCATGTTGGTTTTTATCATAACATTGTTTTGCAAAATCAGTGTCGCTGAAGGGGTGTATTTTCTGTATTTTAGTTGTGCTGAAAACAATCCTGAACAAGGAAATCCGGTTTTCGGACACCAGTGGAATCGCACAAACAGTCGCAAACTTCGTACTCACCATTGGATTCAGTCTGTGTTTGATTTTTGCTGTACCTAAAGCCAAATGTATGGCAAGAATGCTGAAAAGGGCTGCCAAAGTTCAGCAATTTTGTGCAGATTGTGGGATACGAGCAGGAGCTTCTTACCCTGAGATGCTGCTTCTTGTGATGATCCCTTCCGAAGCAATTTTTCTAGACAGGAAATATTTCGAAATAGCGCAATCCAAAGGACCAATTTCTCTACTTACGGTATGCATTTTCAGTGCATAAATTTAGTGACGAACGTGATTTGAATGCAAATGTGAGTGACCAATGCTTGGATTTCAAGTTTTAGCATGTCCAGTGTTTTGCTCTCAGCACTGGATATAACTTCAGCTATGGAAGGAGGAAGGCAAATTAACTAGACAGAATATTTATTAATGTATGCCATATATATATTTTTTTTAGAGGGAAATTAATGATTTGTGTCAAAGTTTCTCTTAGTTACATGGACCCTCTCAGTGTTCTTGAATAATTAAATGTGACTTCCATCTGCAATGCCTAACACTCAACAGTACACATTTTTGAATTTAGGTTACTTTGAATAGGACTTATCAAGTTTTTATTTTGAGTTCACATAATAAATTGTGATGATACAGTATTATTTAATGTTTGAGGTGCTGGTGGGATATATAGAGTAGATCAGTGTTCCCCAAACTGTGCTCTGCAGACTGGTGCCAGTCTGCAGAAGTTTTATTGCCAGTTTGTGGGAAATTTTCTTGAGCATAATATAAATTGAGAAAAGTAGCAATCAAAGTTTGTTATTTTTATCGGAGACCTTGGAAAAACAAATGGCAGTTGAAATTATCTAAAGAACCCATAAGTTGGCTTTTTTCTAAATTACACTTGAAATAACTTTTTCCAAGTAAATCAGTCTGAGAAACCTTTCTTCAAGCCCACCTTCCTAACTTTTTGAAAACATTCCACTATGTACCTGCTTCATTGGATCTTAATTTTTGCAAAAGAGCAGACACTTTTGAAATGCCTACTGTAAAGCTTTCTGCAAGAATCTCACAACTCAGAAAATTTCACGTAACATTGCTGGGTTCATTTCAGGTTTTAGCTCATATTAGTCATAATTTATGTGCCACTCTTGGCCTGTTATTCTGATGTTGGAGTAATTTTTTCCAGCATATGGTTAAAGCTGAGAGCTTTGTTTTTATATTTAACACATTAAATTTTAGAATTGCGCATAACACTGAAGGCTGTAGAAGCAACAAAACATGTGTTTTGACGGTTTCATCACCTTGTATTTGCACAGTACTTTTTATAAGAATCCAACAATTTTTCATGTCAATGTTTCTTTGTTGCTTGACTAAAGAAGCCATACACAGTGAGACCCCCACATGCGGACGCCTTGACGTGGGGACAATTTGACATAGGGACATTTATTTTTTAACAAAAAAATCATAAAAAAGACCCAACATGAGGACACTGACTCAACCTGGGGACATTGCAGGATAAAATTCCAAAATAAATTTTAGGAAAATCGATTTTCATAAGGTTTAATTGCAAGAAACAGATGTTTCCAACCTAAGATCAATGCTAGAAAAATGCTATGGTACTTTTCCCATCATTTTCCCATCCATTCAGCTAATATAAAAATGCCCTAAAGCACAGAGGGACTTCCTTCTAGCTCTCTTTGTGACATGGATGTTAATTTTCCAGATGCCAACTTTTCAATTTACTGTACAGAGATATACTATTCAACATTCCAAATGTTCTTATTGGTTTGAAAATATATTCATTGAATCAAATTCAAGTGGCAAACATTTTTTCATGAAATTCTAAGAATACTTCTTCCATAAAACACCAATTAAAAATTATACAATGTAAGTCTATGGGAAAACAAGATTTGACCTGGGGACAATCCAACATAGGGACACTCTTGATGCACCAATTATGTCCGCATCTGGGGGTCTCACTGTATATGTGATGCATTCACAATTGAGGTGTTATTATGCCGGTTCAAAACTTCTGCAATGGCGGATATACGTAATTAGCCTATTCATACAATTGGTGGCAGGTTGGTTTGCTTACTATTTATCCAGCAATGTATCAATATGATGGTTTACCTTCACGCGACCCCTCTCTTCATCTTCATCTGGTCACAACTGAGGATTGCCAGCAACGGCATGAAAGCCATCAAATCCAAACTGTTGTCAAAGACCCCGATTGAAGAAGGAAAGACTGCATCTGAGAGAGAAAAGATATTCGCTGTGTATCTGGAGATGAGCGATTACTGCGATGCCATCACAGAAACCTTCGGTTCCATGATTGCCACGATATTCGCTGAACTCTATATTGGAATCCTTCTTGACATGTTCAAAGTTGTCAGTAAACTCATGAGTGATTCCTTTGATGACGACATGCCGGACCTGATAGCACATGATTGTCTAATCATGTTTCTGGACATGTCGTTGCTGCTGGTGCTTTGCCTCGCTGGGCAATCAATTATTGATCAAGTGCGTGTATTTTTTATATGAACGCTGGGGTGTCCGAAAAGTTGCTGATGTATCTATATATTGTGAAAAAAATGCATGCGAGATTTATGTGCCCCAAGTGGGGAGCTATTCTTTGTGTGACCCCAATTTTGTCGAGAGTCCTTAGACCTCAAGACAAACAAATCGGTTTTTATGAAAAAAAAGACACAGGCAATTGGCTGTTAGCGGCCTGAGGAGATATCCACAAGTTTGAAGTGTATTTTCCAAAGACTTTCAGACACACAAAAAAAATGCAAGCTTCTTGGATGTGTACGCGGTCTCCTGTCAGGAACTGTTCTGATGATCTGTTGAGGTTGCGTGCGAGGATGAGGTTCAGGTCCCTTCCAGTGGAAATGTTCCTGAAGGCCAGGTTCTTGGAGATGTGTTTTAGAATTCTTGAGAATCCTTTGAAGAGGATTGCTCAGTGTATTTTGAGCTAATTACGGAATATTTTATGAAGGTTTCACACCCTCATAGAATATTCCAAATTATATAATTTTGATCTTTATGTTTTCAGTTGCTTCTATGCAATGTGGCGCAACCGTGAGCCACATCTAGTTGTTTCACAGTGCAAATTTGAAGGCTTTGGCCAACACCTAGTCAACCCACAACAAATGGTGCACACTGGGGGCACAATTGGTGTATATGGGCTATTCTGGGGTTAGAAGCATGCACCTCTGTAGACAAAATTTTGCTGCCATTCCTGGGCTACATTTTGGTGCACAAATGTGACATAACAGGAGCATCACACAAATGTACCAACTGTAACCTTGGTGTAACTTATTTGTTTACAAATGTGACTCTGAGTAATCCTGGTGTGAACACACAATTGGTGCTCATCAGGAATATGCATGTGCAACAGAAGAACTTTGATACACTTCAGGTGCACAGCAGGGTCACTGTGTATAGAATTACAAACATATCCCCAGTGTGCACCAATTTCCCCACTTGGGTGATGCATTTTCTCTGTGCGCATTGCATTAAATTATTGTACATTTGCGGGTAGATGTCACTGCTGTGGCAGTTGGAATCTCATAATTGTGCTTCTGCTGCGCATGAGTCCTGAAATTTCTATAGTCATGCATAGTACATGTGGATTCTCTGAAGCGAAGTTTAAGGGACCAGGAGCACAATTGTAGTTGTAGAGAGAATTTCGTTGAAGAGAATGAACCTCATAAGATGAGGAGGGAACACTATTTGACAAAAGAAATTTTATGCAGAGAACATTTTTTGTAGGCAAGAACGTTTCAGACTGTATATAGAGGCCACCTGTAAGAAGTTCCAAATATGCTTTTTCTTGCTACTATTGTCTTTTAGTTAATTGCGGCAATAGAAGTAAATAGGTACAGTATTGGGCTTCCAGAAAGGAAATGTTCATGAAATCATCAAGGCAAAAGTCTGCAGTTTTCTTGCTACAGTACTAGAATTTCTAAATTTGAATGTATTCCTGAATTCATGTGTACGTTTTATCCAATGTGAGGAGTAAACCAGAAACTGCCAGCTGTATGCTCCTTTGCTGCATGTTAATGGTTGCCCCATAATGTAATGATTCGAGCATGAATGACTATTTCTCTAAACCATTATTCGCTTTTCCAAAGGATGATCAAATTCGAGTGCTGATCAATCGCAACAAGGCAAGAAAAAACAGGAATAAAGAAGAGCCTGCGTTGATTAGTAGGAGTGCTGATTCATCAGTTTTTCGTGGTGACACAGAAGATGTCCTTGATGGAATTTTATCACACAAGGAAGCATGTGTGACGGCTGATAATTACTTCGAGCTGCGGAAAAGCAACATTCCTAATGTGAGGGTTGTTGAAGGAATTTTTGGTCCATGAATTTTCTACAATGGCTAATGATGATTTTTCATTTCTTT